ATGCACAACTATAGCTGTAGTCACTTATAATGTTCTAACAAGGGTTTGGTTAGGTTATTTGAATATGGCAAAGCACCTAAGGGCTGCTTATTTTTTCTACCAAAGTTAGCTGAAACAATTACTTTAAAAAAACTACTTTAATTTTTTGCTATGTAGCACCTACTTAGTTCTGAACTGAAGAATAATATAACTGAAACAGCCACACATACAGATTATGTTATCTTAATCAATGAGTCAAACTAGTGAGTTCATTGCTTAAGCATTCACCAGCTTTAGGAAAACCAGATCAAGTAGGATAGTGTATTTTTTTTAAACATAATTAAGTATCAATGTGCTTTAAAAATGATAATTCAAATTGTGACAAAGGTACCTATTGATTATTTACTACATCTCAGATTTTTAGAGGTAGTTATTTCCCAGCAATGATATCTGTGCGTTTTCTTTGGTGGTAAAGTGCCAATAAATAGTATTTAACTGTAACAGTCATGTATAATCATAACTGACTTATGATAATTGTGTATGTAATTTTATATTCATTTTTGTTAGCCATGTTCTCATTTTATAAATATGGGTCTTTTTAATTTGCTAAAAATAATGAAAACAAAAAACTGTTCGTTTTTTCTAGTTTCAGTCTGCTATGTCATGGGATTGTAAAAATCTCATAGAATGAAATAATAATCATTCCAAAAGCATATTGCAATACTAGTAAAGTTCTGATATATGCAAATAAATCATTATGTGAAAGAAAGGAAATTGGTTTGAGGGAAGCACTGCTTATTAATTTTTGTTCATCACAGTTCACAAAGTGTATAACTTACTCAAAATAAATCTAAAATTATGAATTTTGGTACTTTCTAATTTTCTGGATCTCACCAGAATACTGTGAAAAATTATTGATGGTCTAAACCATGTTGCGAAGAAAAATTTATGTGGCTACACATGTCACTAAAAATCATTTATTATAGCATTCTCCCAGACAGCAGTTCTCCAGATATTTTCACCAGTGTGGTTGCAGATTATGATCCTTCCTATGGGAATTTCAGTACTTCAGCATTGCGGTGGACCACATACTGCAGTTTCTGTTGTCTCTGGTAAAATCTTTGGCGATGTAGCTTTCTGCATGCATACAACATAAAAGGCATCACATGCCCCTCTTTCCTTTCTTATTTTAGGATTCTGGTGCCAAAATTTTGCAATTTTCTGATTTTTTTAAAAAATTTTTTTTATTAAAATGATTTATAGGGAGAACAATGGTGAAAAAAAGGCCTAGAATTGTGCATGTCTTGTATTGAAGAAGAAGAATGTAAAACAATAGGTGGTGGTGGTGGATGCATCATTGAAATAAATTTAAAGATATGCAAACATCCCTCTCCTAACTCACCAACAAGTTTGCAAATACTCTTCAAAGTTGCCAATGAGTTCATGACTTACTACATCTGTGGTAGGAATGTAAATTCCATATATTTTATGGCTCTTGTTAAAGATGGAATTAAACACAGGAATTTTAATTTAAATATAGGAATTTTAATTTAATAACTTATATTTAAACACAAAAACTTATTTCTATGTTTCCCTTAATGGGAGAGCAAACATAAATATTGATGCAAAATGCAGTTTAAAATATTAATGGTAAATTTAAAATACATTCAAAATGCAATCTGTCACAGTTCTAGATCATCCCCATCTTTTAAAAAAAAAAAAAAAAAAAAAAAAAAAAGGTAATGAAGTAGAAATAGATAATGGAAATGGCACTGTGTATTTTAAAATATAAATGAAAATTTGGGATAATCCAAGCAATGTTTATGTGTGTAAAAAGTATATTCCTTACTACCTTATGCATACTATAGGTATCTGATAGATTTAACTGACAACAGTTACTTTTAAAAGAATAATAATATTAAGAGCGATTCAAAGGTTATATTTAATTTAAAGGACAGTAGGCAATGTAGGCATATATATTTTGCTGTAAATTGACTGGCAAATGTTATTCAGTAAAGGAAAAGATCCCACATGTGCTTTCTCTATATCACTACTTTGATCTAGTCCATCATTAACAATATTTTCCCTGGGATTCCATCTCAGAGCAAAAACTGAGATAAATTTAGGTGTATAATTGTAAGCTTTGTAATCTTGTTCTTAAAAATGTTGTTGTATCACGATAAAACATTAATAAACTATGTTAAATATTGTTTTTCCAACATTCCATTAGCAAAATAGAATACGGATATAACCCTACACGGGCTCGAGAAGCTTTACCACGTGACAAAGCAAATGACGCCGAAAGCTCTATGTTACGTCTGTATTCTTCTAACCAATAGCAGCGAAGCAGCTATCACAGCAGGAGGTACAGCGAGTGAACATGCGAATCTGAGGGGCTAGACGCTTGTGGGAGGATGATGATGGGCCGAGAATTTGGCCTTGGGCCCAGAATTTTAGTAAACAGTGCAACCGCTGCAAACTCGATTGGCGCTGCAGTCAACCTATTTGGCGCCAATTTGTAAATATGGGACAAAGAACAAAGAATCTCTAATCTTTGATATTCTTTGTATGGGAGTCAAGACTTTTTGTTGAAGCAGCTTTAGTATAGCCAAAGAATTCTTTGTTATAGCCCTGGCATTCTCCATAGATATTCTTGCGTTTTCATGAGTTGGAGGGTGATTGCTGTTGCGCATAATAGTTAGTGTAAGAATGTATCTGATGGGTAAATTTCCTGAGCTTAAAAGAAATTTAATATTAACAATCGGGAAATTAGAGTATTTAGCAGAGACTATATATGGACAAGCCCAAAATGAAAAACGCCGCATTGCTGATTATCTTGCAAAAGGAAAATTTGAGCGTGCTAGAATTTGTGTAGAGGACGTAATTTACCAGGAGCAGCTAATAGAAGGCATTGAAGAACTAGAACTACAGTGCGAAATCTTGCGGGTTCGAATTCGTTTCATTCAGCAGGAGAAGTAAGATTTTTAATTGTGTTTTGTTTGTGATATGTGAGTTTCTTAAGGCGTTCACTTTTGTTGGTAGCTTCCTAATAACTGGATCCACCAGGAAATAAATATTGTTCAGCTTAGAACTCATTACTATTTTCTCTCAAAAAAATACGGAACAGCTTTAGTATTGGTCCTTTTGGCGATTTTTTTATTTGGCGACAAACTTCGGTCGCCAAGGTAGCCGGTTTTGAAGATCGGAAAAAAATGGCGGATTGTCAACGAAACCCGATCTAGACTAAATAACAATCCTAAAAAATAAGCTCTTAATCAGAATAAACAGTCTTTCTCTAATTTTCAATATTTCAAGTACTGCTATGATAAATTCTTGAAACACTACTGTAAATGAATTTATGACAATTATGTTATGAGTAATGAAATTTACAAAATGTTAATATTTTTAATTACAAAATATAATGTATTAAACATTAATATTTTAAGTAGTTAGTTCATATTTATATTTTTTTATATTAGTACTTAGCTAATATTTTAAATTTACAAAAGGTTAATTTTTTATGTTATGAATAATGAAATTTACAAAAGGTTAAAAAATGCATTTCAAACTAGTATATGTTACTTTAGTTTCTTAGATGCTGTTATTAAAAGAAAATAAAAAATATTTCAAACTGAAGGAAATCAAATTCAATTATAATGGGCAAGTTTTGTACCAGTGTTAGAAATATTTTTTATGATTAAATTTTGTAAATGGTAAAAATATTAAGAAGTTTTTAATCCCTCAATTTATTACAAGTAATTTATGATTATAATTTAAAAGCTAAAGTCAAATTATCATAATGAGTAAATTTTGTACCAATGGTAATAATACAACAATCATTGTAAATGATAATTTCTGTGAAAAATTCGAACAGTCATTGGAATCCACTAGTGGTGGAGTGATAGCCACTGAACAGTGGTAGTTTAGGCTGGCTATATGGGAGTTTTAGTAGTTTTCCGTAGATTCCGTAGAATCTGAGCCAGTTTCTCTTAAAAAGTACTTTATGAAGGTATCCTTCTTCTGCTAGCCAGCATATGTATTTATTTTCTATTCATAATTGTCTCTTATTTTCTTATTTCTTAATTCTAAATCTTACTTCTGAAGAGAAGAAGTGTTGCATCTATAGGTCAAAAAATATGCTCAATATATTTGCAAAATCCTGTCAGTTTTAGAAAGCATTTAAATAAACTAAATACAAAAATGCATTGCACTATTTCAGGTACTGAATAATTAATCAGGGAACAAAGTATATTGTAACGTTCCTTTATTTTGTAACCAGAGTTATTTTATGCTTGGAATCTTTACTGTCAATTTCCTCCATCCGTTTTCTCACCAGAATCCAAATGAAGTTTTTATTTTGTAAAACAAACCGTGTTTTGCCTTTTGAGGCCACATTAATAGGTTGCTAGATAAGAAAAGATTTGTAGTCTTCACAGCCTTGCATTATAATTGCTGATAGTTGAATTCCATGCCAGTTAAGTTTTAACCAACTTTGCATTAAATTGATTTGTGCAGCCTTTGGGCTACAAATTTATTTGAATTTAAATTTTACATTTGAACTTAATTGTTATCATGCCACAAGTGGTTGACTGAGTCATAAGCACAAAGTGTGCCTTCTGTTCTGTACATCTAAACTTTATAATAGAATAAAAGTATATCTTAACTTAATAAGAATATATCTAAACTTTATGATAATAACATTTAAAGACATTGAAATCAGTATCTAAGTGCTTCCCATGTAGTCAAATTTTTATATATAAATTGTACTCTTACTTTTATTATAGAGTTTTTATTACAAAAAATTCAGATTTCTGTTAGATAAAATGTTTAAGTAATGTAGAAAATTTGCATAAAATTTAAAATAAAAAGTCAACTGTTATGTCAACATACTATTAATAAAAGTAATAATACTCAGTGAAGGTTATTCACATACAGCTGTTAGGTTGTAAGATTTACAAAATTTGAGAACTCTAAATTATAAGCAATATATTCCATAATCTAAGCAACATTATATTTTTTATAGTCAGACAAATTATGAAAATGTTATTAAAGCAATAATGAAACCTGATTTTGGTCTTGATTTGAACCTATGAATTCATGCAATTACACATCCCTTTAGTTCTAATATGAGGTAAATAAGTATTTTTAGACCATGGTAATTTTGATCTCCTTAGCAAAGGAAACACCAAGAGTTTACCTCATGCTACTGAAAATGTGTTTTTCTTTTCCCTTGGGGGGGGGTGGAGTTTATAAGAATATGCAGAGTTGACATATGAAAAAATGTCAAGACTCATGTGATGTAATATTAAAAGCACCAGTTTTAACTATCAAAAATTTGGCTTTAAAAAAAAAAAAAAATTAAATGTTGTGCTTTCCTAACACAAAAGTAACTTTAAGAAAAACACACAATTAACTTTCCTGCCATCAAAGCTCTGATACCTATCAAATTCGTTAAAGTTACGTGGATAGAAATGGCGGCATGTTTGAAGCTCAGTATTTAGGGTTACCAAGGTTATCATAATTTTTCATTTATCGCTCCAAAATGTCGCCAAACAAATTTCTCGCCAAAAAGGACTAATACTAAAGCTGTGCCAAAACTATGGGAGGCAGAGGTCTATGTATTCTTATTGTTATACCTATGTGCATATATATATTATTTGTTTTTATATTTCACTTATGCAGTGTTGCTCCTCACCTCTCTTTTGTTTGTAATTACCTGATGCACCAATTAACTCTCATAACTGCCTATGTCATTCTATTTCTCTGTTTCTAGCCAAATCACCAGCTCGAACTGTCTATTCTTGTCTGTGAATGTAGGGTGCTGACTCATGTTCAATTATCTAAGCCCGAACTAAAAGGGTGTTTTTTATTACATCTCCGTAATTGAGTCAGCTACAATCTCTTTAGCTATCTCTTGTAATAATTAGGAAAGGTAAGACTGTACTATATGGGTAGGGCCTTTGGCCCAGGTGCCTAGATTACTCCTAGAATCGGAATATAAAAACATGTTGCTAGAGCAAAATTGGGCTAATCTTTGGAATATGGTAACAGGTAGTTTGGCGACATTTTGGTAAGGCGATAAAGGTTACTAACTAGGACTTTAGCAGTGTACATGGATAAAAGTCAAGAGTGTGCGCAATGCCATTTTTGTGCAATTCTGGGATATTTGTTTAAGTGAAAATGGGTTGACGTATACATGAATGATACCGTATATGTGCAATTCTTAAAAACGCAGCAAGCAGTGGGTGATTCTGCACTTTCTCCCAATTTCGCACCTAATCTTCGTCACGATTAAGCATTTTTGTTCCATAATAGTTCTAGTATAAACGTAATTCGGCTAGCAGATTGTTGAAAAAAAATGTTGAGTTACAAAAAAAAAAAAAAAAAAAAGAAAAAAAAAATGCCTTTACTTCGTGAAAACAAAATGGCGTACGAAACAAAACTAGCAGGTTGCTGTAGGAGGGTTGGTCGCCAAATTTTCGCCAAAAAACCGCCAAGTTACCATAATCCAAAGATTAACCCAAAAGGCTAATGCTAATATAAGAACACATAGTGAGGTTTTGCCGAGTGCCTCAGTTGATTAGTCATTCAGTCTCAAAGGCCGCTATAAGAAGGAAGTACGAACATTTTAATTTTACTACCATGTTATGAATAGAATACCATTCTTTGTATGGTTTTTAATTTTAATTCATAAAAAGCTAAAGTATAAGAGTTAAAATATCATAAAAAGAGTTTGAATTTGCGAGTATGTTACAAATGGAATATCATCAGGAGATGATTCTAAAAAAATAAGCACATTTTCAAATTACATGTGAAGAAATTATGAAAACATGGTTGGATCCTAGCTGATCACATTTATATGGTGTGTATCGATGTGTACATGGACAAAGTCAAGGGAATGTGCAGTACCAAGTTTACAATTTTGGGATTTTTTTAAAGTGAAAATAGGTCGATGTGTACGTGGATGCCGAGTTTGTGCACTTTTTTTTACTTGTTATTTTCAAGTTGGCGATTTTGAGAAACTGGCAAAGCAGTGGTTGATTCTGCACTTTCCCAGTTTGTCGCCAAGGGTGTTGTGGGCTTTCCTAGATTTTACCAAAAACATTTATGGGTACTTTTCTGTTTTGCCGGCGCAGGCGATAAAGACGTCAATAATGGTACAACTGATGCCAAACGGAATATCCTCGATGGTAACCTTTTACACCTCATTTTCAAAACAAATCGCAGCCATTTCTTATCAGACTGATTGTTTATTTCAATAATAAGAAACAATTACATAGAAGTTTTACCAGGTAGTTCAATTTTATGCCCTAAGGCCACTCGCGGTAATTAACTTAATTAAGATGCCATCGGCAAAAATATAGAAAAGGCAAAGTCAGGGGTTAAATTCATCAATTCTAATGAGAATGCACTAGCGAAATAAAAAGCACTGCGGTTTTACATAAGCTATTCGTATGAATGTGAAGTAATTCTTGCATTTAAACTTGTATTCCAAATTAAGATTTAACTTGAAACTAATGTAGATAATTACTGAGAGAATTATATTTTTGTATCGTAGTTTACGTGAGACAAGATCTCTTGGGATCACATGATACTTGGGGGTCATATTAAATTCTTAAACTAATGTTATTTTACAAATTTATTGTCTTTACTTATTGGCTTTTCACAAAATTTTAAATCATATTAAAATGCTTATGCCTTCAAAAAGGAAAATTCTTAGAACTAACATTTGTTAAAATTTTTTATGTGTATACTGTATATTGTTGCCAATAATGTCTGCTTGGCGAGATTTTTGCTGGTGAAAGGGAAAAGTACCCATATATGCATCTACTTTTACCAAACTAATAGTTTTAAATAGTCTTATCTGCTGGGTCAGTAAGAACACACTGATTTTTTTACTTGCAAAACAATGTTTGTAGTGTGGGATCCAAAAAAAAAAAAAAAAAAAAAAAATTGTGCTCACTTTGTAATTAAATAATTTGGTACAACTCTGATATACGCCCTAATTTCACCAAATGTGGCGATATGTGTTCTGCGGTGGTTTTTGGCACGATTGCATATTGTATGACAACCCTGTTGATGTTGAAAATTCTTTCGCTGGAGTTCGTTGGTTCCCGTCATGCTTTGTGTCTGAGAAGCTAGGGGAGAAAGATTTAGTGGTGAAAGTTGTTGTTTGGTATAAGGAAATATCGTCGTGGCCATCCTGTTGAGGGGCAATGGGTATTTGGAGGTGTGGAAAGAAGGTATGGAAGATTATTTTTAGTGGCTGTGCATAATAGAAGTAGGGATTTGTGATTATTTGTTATTTTATTTATTTGTGAACCATAGTATGAATTTTCTGGATAGTGTGTCTGGCTGTCATATAAATACGATAGTGATTATGTGGCGGTATGAAATTGGTATTTCTGTTGTTCCAAAAAGCATTAATGGTAAGTGCATTTTATTTTATTCTTGTTCTTATTTTGTAGAATGTTATGTTTATTGTTTTTTTTAGTACGAATTTCTGTCGTTATTGTTGTTTTTTTGAATTGTTTGAAATTTATTTTGTTGATTAGTGCGTACTGTCTAAATTGTGCAATTCGTAGATGTTTTTTAAAGTTGAAACAGAACGCTGTGTACATGGTATTCTTTGAAATTTATTGTTGTTATGTTAATTTATTAAAGCGAGGTGTGCATAGTTCGTAAATTCGTTCGTTGCCTAGATGGTGCCATTCGTAGATGCTTTTTTAAGTTAAAACATATCGCTGTGTACATGGACTCTTGTGAAATAATTTTGGTTAGAAACTTCACGGTTTTGCTATCTAAATTTTTTTGTTTTTGTTTCGGATTTTAGCTAAATTGTGTGTTCAAAACGTGGTTTTTTGCTTCGCGAAAAACGTCTTTTTGGAGACATTTTAGGCTTAAAGTTCGAAATGTAGACAAAAAATTTAGATAGCAATATGACAGCGTGGAGTTTCTCGCCAAAAATATTTGGCGAGAAATTTGGTGCCTTGAGGGCGCATATCAGAGTAGTTCCAATAATTTCTAAACAAAAAGACCTATATTCACTAATCTAATGTATTTTGATAATATGTAGTAAGGTATTAAATTTGTTGTAGTAAGAAGAGCTGGAAATTTATGCCGTGCAAGCGTGGCTAGTTGGTAGTGAAATGAGCCAGCTCAGAAGACAGTCATTTAGCAACAATGGCTGAGGTTCGTTTATTGTTTGTTGAATGTAGGGCTATAGTAAAGAGGTACTGGAACAACGGCAGTTGCAAAGAGAGATTGGAGTAATGGCACCAACAGAATTGCCTGCATTCGTGATAAATTTGAAGCTGATGGAACTGTTAAAGATTTGCACAAGGGAAGATCCACCCGACTGCAAACAGTTGTAAGTACAAGCATCGAGTGCTGATGTGTTGCAACATTACAATCAAAACTGCAAAGGCCAGTGAACCAGGTAGTGTACAGACATGGAGTGAGCCGGGCAAGTGTCAAAAACATTTTGAAGAATACGATATGGAAAGTGTACTTCCAAAACTGCTACACATGATGAATGAGGATGATTCAGATTGAAGGATAAAGTACTGTGAGTAGTTTTAGACGTGGTTGGTAATGATGAGGAATTGGCAGGGAAGGTTGTGTGGCCCGATGAGGCAAAATTCAAACATTATGGTATTGTGAACTGCTGCAATTGTAGCTACTGGGTTCCTGAAAATTCTCACACTGATGTAGACAGGATAGTGAATGTGAATGTATTGAGAACTGCTGCTTATCAGTTTAGGGTTTCATTGGTCCCTTCATTTTCGAGGATATTATGACTGGTAAGGTGTATTTTGCCTGCAGTCCAAAATCTGCATGATTTTTTTTTTTTTTTTTTTTTTTTTTTTAAGCCTGCAACAAGGCAGAGCTGTGCCTTGCTACCATGGAGATGTCAGGTTGTATCTTGATAAAATTCTACTTGGATGGTGGGTGGGTCAGCTGTGCTGCTGAGTAGCCCACCCCTTCGATTCGATACCTCTTGGTAACAGTCAACAACAATTCAAATTGAGAAAAAACAGCAAAAGTCTACTGTCAAAAAGTGAATTAACAAAAGATATTACATTTTTGAAAATCTGAAATAAGCAATAAATTATGAAAATATAAAAATCCAAAGTGCATGAACTGTATTAGCATAAAGGAGCCAAACCATAAATTAAAATGTCATGTAAAGTACTTATTCTTAAACCCTGTTTCTAATGTATGTACCTATATATCTTAAATTCTAAGCTGTAAGCTATTCTATTTTAATGGCTAATCTCCATTAAAGATTATAAAAGATATGTTCTTATTTAGTAAGTAACCATTGCTTTCGAAAATGTTTTGAAGATTGAAAGGCTTGGAAAGCAGTTTGATGATAATATGTTCAAAGTCGGCCCATTACACAATAATAGAAAATTTTTTAAAAAGGATCTAGTATTAAAAATAATTCCATGCACAGTCTGTTGTCTAATTTATAAGAAATTCTTTTAAAAATTAAATATTGAAACTAAGATGTTTTTTCTTTCATGTAATGAATGAAGACCTTTAGATCAATGTTTAGCTGAAGCAGTATTGAGCTTGATCTGGGCAGCTGACCATTTAAAGACTGATATTGAGCAGTTAAAGATGATTGCTAGGGAACTAGAAGAGATATATGGCGAACCTTATGTCTTAGCTGCAAGAGAAAATGTAGAGAACTTAGTAAATAAAAAACTGATACATAAATTTAGTGTGCAAGTTCCTCCTAAAAGTTTAGTAGAAAAATATTTAATAGGTAAGTTGAACTATTTTAGTTGGTAGTTAAGTAATCAGTTTCTATGTAACGTTTTTTCACAGATATCTCTTACTATTGTATTCTAGAAATTGCTAAAAGCCATAAAGTTCCTTATGAAGTATTTGCTGCAGAGGAAGAGGCTCAAACAGAACCTTCAATTGATTTAAGTGATGAATGTAAATCATTGATGCATCATGCTGGACAGTATCCACAGCATGACTTAACAATGCCATTTAATTATCCTGCACCCAATGTAAGTTCTGAAATGTTTTCCATTTCTTATTTAGCATCCTACATTAAACTCAAATCGAGCATTTGTGACCAGTTTTAATAACAAATGTAAAAATGTAATTTTATTACTACTTGTGATTTTCTGTTATTTAAATGACAAATGGGATAATGGAAGTTATTATTAAAAATGTAAGTCTTATGACTACCAGTTACCTGAAGTTTAAGAAGTATTGATTGCTGATGTGATGGAGTTCATTATTCATTTGAAGTAGACATCTATTTCATCTTAAAAATCTCTGTTTCTAACACTTCAAAAGATTAAAAATCTGCTTAGTTGCTTAGATATCAAGAATAAAATGCAGACAACTTTGTCTCTTATTAGTGGCATTTAAGTGTTATCAGTGGGTGTCTTAATTCAGTTCTCCAGCAAATTACTATGTGTTATAGATTATTCCTTTTACCACTGTCATCATATAAATACTTTGCCTGAAGTTGACAAGTTTGTAACCATAACTGAAGATCAACCCTGTGCTATTTTAATTGAGCAAGGCAGCAGTAATTGGAACTTTGTTACTCTTCCATATAAGGCGGTTGCTGGAATATGCACATGTGTGGCAATGATGGTAACGTCTTGTCACGTACGAAACATAGGTCACAAATGTGACTTACATTTTGGTTTAAACATGTTTACTGTGTGAGATTTTGCTGAAGGCAATGAGATGGATTTTGCAATTCACAGTAGTCAGATGATGAAATGTTTAGTATTAAATAATTCTTTCAGAAAAACGGACATTAGTGAAATTAGTGAAATATTATTGAAATAATCATATAATGTTTTAACGTAAAATCTGCTCCAAATTGTCATTGCAGTTAAAATCTGGCTAAGAGAAGAAAGCACTGCAAACCCAAAATTGGTTCTGTAAAATTATTCACTTTATGAAACTTTGTAATATTCTTCTCAAGTATTTGTCTAAAATAATATTTTTGAGCATAGTCTTGGATGTGTTGTTAAGGTTGTGGTTACTATCAAGCTTCATTTCATAGCAATGTTTGTTTCACTAAAGCTAGGGACCTTATTAAGAGAAAAATATTGAAATTATATCTAGAATTGAAAACAGTACTTTTTCATTGTAGTTGGTAGGCAAGTTTACTAAAATGGCAAGTTTTATGTAAACTCATAATTTTGCAAGTAATAGGGAAAAATAAATTTTGGAAGCAGACTGATTTTATGAAATGGGAGAGCCCTTATCTTAAAGACACAACATATGTTAACTATTTTATTTCTTTATTTTTTAATACAGTGGAAAGTTTTTAACCTGGACTCATTGGGATTTCGGCGATTCCGGATTAGGGGTTTTTCCGGATTATAGATCATCAATTTTAATCTGGTAAGATGGCATGCAGAAGTTACAAAATTAAAAATATGAAACCATAATTTATGATCTAAAGGGTATCAAAATTTAAAAAAAAAAAAAAAAAAAAAAAAAAATTTATTTATTTACTTTATTCAACATTTCTTTCAATGTAAGTTGTTTAAGATGCTTCCACAAAAAATTCAAAAAGTTTCTTTTTCTTTTTTCTTGTGTTGTATACTTGTTTTTTAGGCTTTAATGCACTTTAACCTAACACAAATTTCTTAAAGCTGCTTTTAAACATTTGCAAAAGTATATTTTTGTCCCAGAATATTAGAGATTTCAATGGTTTAATACATACTTTACTTTTTAATGGATTTACCTCACTGTTGTCACAATTTACCAGTGCATTTTGTTTACATTTTGATCAGGTGCAAATTTTTGCTCATAGGTATTTCATATTTTGGGCAAGTCTTGTGTGTAAAAAATCTCCAAAATGAAAATGAATTAACAATATATAAAGAACAAAAATCAATATTTAAATACAATCACTACAGAAAATGTCTATGAACCAACCGAGAGTACTACTATGAGAAGAAAGTCACAAAACTATTCTTGTAAAAAGTACAATGAGAATTTTTTTACTCTCTTGTGTGAAGTAAAGAAAATATTGTAATTGCTAAAATTACCATATTTCAGTGAAACTGTAGAGATATTAGGTGTTTTTTTTTTGGAAGCAGGCAAGATGAAAAATGAGCAACCGCCTTCCCTGGGAATCAAACCATGGACCTAATTACGCTCTGAGCATGCAGACCACCACACTGCTAAGGGGGAGAAATATCTTATATACTCCCCCCTTTTAAAGAGCAACTGGGGTTTTTAGGGAATCCAATCGCCAAATCTTGGGCGAGGAGAATCATCATCCAACACCCTTTGTGTTTGGGTGGCACTGTAGAGACATTAAGTATTTTTTTGGAAGCAGGCAAGATAAAAAATGAGCAACCGCCTTTGCCGGTAATCGAACCACAGAGCTCTCAATTGTGCGCTGAGCGTGCAGACCACCGCACCACGAAGTCATGCCAAGAAGGCAGGCGAAATACCTTATAAAACTCTCCATTTTGACCGCTTTCAAATCCATTTGAAAGAATTTTTTTTTTCTGCGTGACATCTGTATGTATAGACAGATGCTGTGATTTTTCTGTTGAATGTTATGTTGCCCAAGAATAATTGACTCTTTGGATGCAGGAGAGATTTTTTTCGTTATGACTATATGTATTTTGACCTCTATAACATGTAGTTGGGCTTGTCCCTTTTTGGTTGCAAATGGCTGCTTAAAAAGTATATATATATACATACACACACACACACACACATCTTAACTATTACCCGGCACGGTGAGCTCAGTTTTTTTATTCTTATATGTTAATAAATTGTGCATTTTTTGCTTTACCCCTTTCCAGCACACTACCTTTTAAAGTTGGGATTTCGATAAAACAAATGGTAGGCAGTCTAATCAAGCTTGGAGGAGTACACAGGTAAACTTTTGTAAAGATAGCACTTACCTTTTTAATTCTGTGGAGTGCCCAAAACGGGCTCACTGAATGAACAAAATTTTGAAAAAAGTGCTGAAGCGAGCATTGCTGGGAAATGCATAATAGAGTAAGAGACTTTGCTTACGATTACAAAACACTAGATTGTGAATACCATAGCAGATTTAGCATTACCCAGGGTGTGCCACGGGTAGGCCTGCTACTCTGAGCTCCCATAAAATGCTCTTCTCGGTTATTTGTTGATTCCTTGCATATAAGTGAGGGGGGAAGTAACTTGGGTATATATTTACAAATCATTTTTTTTTTTTTTTGTAGTACTTTTTGAAGAAAGTGACATTACTTTTAAAAAAGCACAACCCATTGTTGCATGTTTTGCAGATGTACCGGGATCTGTATAAGATTTACTATCTGAAGACAGTTCATGTAGCACTTTCAGTGCTTCAGAAATGGTCAGCCTTCTCTGATCCATTTGCAAAATAATTAAAAATTAGAAAAGAATGAACTTATATCTACAGTTAGAAAATTTAAAACATAAAATAAAATTAAATAAACATTATTAAAGAACCGTGCCATCTGATGATTTTACGTGTGTTAAAAATAAATGAGCTATTACTTTTAATACTGGACTTCAGTTACAAAGTTGGGATCACCCCTTTATTGCTTTATATATATTTCCCTCAGTTTTGTGCTGCTGCGTACTAAACAGTAATCCTTCTTGCTTATTGAAACAATGTGCCCAATGCCTTCACTCGAAGATGAGCACCACGTCTAGCTCCAGTGATTCTTTTAGCACTGTGAAAGCAAACAAGAAGATTGGGTTGGGGGCCTTTCCATAGTCTTCCAAAAAATGCTCTTCTCAGTAATTTGTTGATTACATCCGTATAAGTGATTAAAAAAAGTAACCGAGTATCAACAAATTCATTTCCTGCGATTCCACAATGACTTTGGATCTGCTGCAGAGTACCACTGCGACCATTATTTATTGGGGAATTTATCACAAGCTGACAATTTAGAACAGATGCATTGTTTTAAAGTATGGCTGAAGCAATTTCCTTAATAGTGGCCTGTTAATAAATATTACAATGGTCTAATCATCTTTTACGGATTTCAGTCAAGGCTAGTTGGTCAGCTGCAACTTGGGTATCATTTGTTGATACAATTTGCACCAACAGCCTTGTTACAGTGCTGAGAAAAACCACTGCACCAGTGTTACTATTAGCAGCTGTAGCAGAAACATTGGTGTACACAAAGCAACCAGTGCATTGTGAAAAAGGCACCTGAACATGGTCACCTAGAAGCCCAAATTTTGAATTTGTTTAATTATCTATTTTATATTTTGTAAAACTTTATTGAATTTTTATTTAGAAACTCAATGATTTCAAAGCAAGCAGTGGCAACACTATACAGAAGAAAATATTTTTACCTCCAGTGCATGAGACTGTCTATTGGAAATTCTAAAGATATGTTGATTTTAAATATTTTGGGATTTTGCTGTTAAATTGAATTTTATGTGGTGTAAGTGCCGAGAATGTGATATTTAATAAATAAAGACTCAAACCATTAGTAACAGAACGACTGAAAAAAGTTTTGAAAGCCATCTTAGAAAGAAAACTGAGCATTGATATGATAAACTCGGAAATCGAGGGTTCTAAATATTTTTAAATGTTTTGTAGTTGAATTGTATATGGCATAAGTGCAAAGAAAATGAGGTACTTACGTACTATGACTATTACCTAAATATCTCGCCAAAACTTCCGACCTTGTTATAACCCTATACAGGCTAACCCTAAGGTGGCGTAAAGGGCATAGAGGCATAGTCATAAGAGCATAAAATACGGGAGTTCCTTTCACACCTGCATGCCACCTCACCGTGGCCAATGAGAGAAGCTAAATTGCGCATGCGTGGGTGTGTCTACAACTTTTCCGCGCTGTTCTCCTGTTCGATTGATTTCCCACGAGCACTCTGCTTGTTTTGTGACAGCGAAATCTTTTGCAGAATGCCACTTCGTTTTAGCTTCGCTCTGATTGGTCGACGCTTATCCCAAACTCGGCATGAAGTTGAAAACTTTGAACCCTATGCCACGAGGCCTAAACCAGATTTTGTGATGTAGCACAGACTG